ATGACCATAAAGTTGGTTTTATTATGAAATCCTCTAAAGAATTTAGGAAACCTACTTCATATATACCTCTACAAGGCCTTGGTACGTCCATATCGATATGGAACCCTCCGTACAAAAAATATACAGACTTGTTGGAAAGCGTACAACGTAAATACCTTAGGGCCATGCACTACCGGTGTTTTGGTTCTTATTTATTATATACACTACAGGCCAGACGTAAACATCTTGTATGTATGGTACTACATGGTGTCATCGATAACAAATTTGTATCTCTGATTTGATCAACCGTTTATGCTATATTGTTCCTAGAACCGTTCACAAGCGCAATAATCTTGTTCGCAAGTTGATTTCGATAGTAAATGTCGTTAAAATGCAGGAAATTTCTTCACCTATGCGAAGAATAGTCGGCACCTACAACGATAATAACACAACATAACAAATTATTTAAGGGTATATTTGGGTTATATTTAAGTTAGTTTTTTTTTATTTCCCATTCATTTTTCATTTTGTTCTGTAAAATTATATCATTACTGTTTTTCTGCTTGTTTGCATATGCTCGCAAAAATATCTTGTACATATTCTGCATTTGTTAATAAATATTAAAAATCCATACAAGCTTTATATTTCACTATAGATTTTCAACTTAAAATTACGGTTTCTATTTATTTATTTTTTTATATATACATACTTATCCATATCATCATCACATCACATCACCAGCCCTTTTACGTCCCCACTGCAGGTGCTCAGGCCTTCCTTATGGATGGTTAAGGAGGATGGGCCATGACCCTCCACGCTGGCCCAATGCGGATTGGAGGGTATTAACGACTGCAAATGCAGCCGGGACCACGTGCCTTAACATGAGATAATAATTTTTTGGTCACCCATCCCGTGACCGACCCTAGTGAAAGTTGCTTAACGACAACGATCGCGGGCCGCGGCACTTATCCACTACGCCATCGAGCTACTTATCTTTATGCATAATAGCAAATTTTAATCTTTATATTTATGTTTGATATATTATATTTATTACTATGTTTTTCATAGGGATGAGTCAGTCTATGGAGTGCGGTGGGGGGTGCTTGGGAGCAAATTTCGAGATTGCGATAGATATTGACGGATACTTCAAACAATATTTGCTCTATTCATTTTAATGTTTAACTTCCTAACTGACAATAGCTACGATTTATGGAAGTATATCTTATAGTGCTGCCATCTATTGACTAGTTATTCAAGTTTCTTTTTTCTCCCTAATGCTTCCTCATTATGCGCAGGAGAGTGATCATTGGTTGTTGCTGAGCATTACACTATAATTTGCAATTACTTTAAATTAACTAGTAAGTCCTCGGTAGCGTATTTAGCTACATGATTAAATGTTTATGTCAAATTTAATGTATCATTATTAAAGAAAAATGTGTAGTTGTTAGCTATCCCTAATAATTATTTTATAATCTTTACATAAATAAATCTGGTGCCTTGAACTTGCCCTAATTATTATCAAGGTGAAACAATAATTTATACAGATATATTTCCTCATTGTAACATTGCGCAACGATTAAAATATTGAAGACACATAAACAGCATTAACTTTAGCAACGGTGGTCGTCAATGAACATGGTAATGGACTTCTTATTAATTCTCTCACCCATTTGAAATGTAGTATGTCTTGTCTTAGATACTTCGAAGCACGCTAATAAGATGTATGGTTGTAACTTAACAGTATCTTTATATTAAAAATCTGGGATCACCAATATGGAAAATTATATCACATTTTTCATTTAAAAAATAATATTTTGATAAATAACACATACTTTTATTTGTCTGACAGCATGGTAATTGACAGACCATATTTATTCTTTTTTTTTTTATTCTAGATAGGCAAGCACTTGACCACCACCACCAATTCGTCTAAATTTTCGTTTTGCATTCATATAAAACAAAGAGGTCAGTTGATAAGAATGACATATACAACCGCCACACATATGTAATGCTATTCTGGATAACAAATTAAAAATACAGCATAGAGGCAGCTTCGAATACAGCGTTGTATGCCATCGGGAAACGCCGATGTATTAGAAAATATGTATTTGGTATATAACATAGGAATAATTAATTTTAAATATAAGAAAAAAAAGCCATATAAATAGAGACATATTTATATTCAAATGATAAAAAAACCACTTCAAACTTCACGTGAATCGTGCCATTTAAGTAAAATCACATTAAATAATAGTTAATATTGTCTACATTAAAAGATACTAGTTCGTAAAATTAATTAAAATATATGCTATATTAGTCTAGTTTGAACCTGTTTATAAAATTTTATCAAGTCTTAGCATTAATGATTGAAACAAAAAAATCCTTTGCATAAAGATAAATTTGGGATTTCCTCTTTTTTTTCTTATTGCTTGGGGTCATGATCCCCTACAGTCGACAATTTTGAGTGTGTCATGCAGTTTTGTATCGAGTGTTGCGCAGACCAGGGGGGCTACCATCACCTCTTATAGCAATGCTTAATCCGTGCAGCGAGTGGGACATCGCTAAATGGAACAATGCGCTCGCTGCATGGATAAAGCATTGCTATGATAGCTCATGATTAGACCCCTGGAGCTTCATTCTGATAATGTTAACGAAATGGTACTTCATTAACGTTCCAATAATAACATTATACTACTGCACTATTCACCTTACTCCAAATATTATTGCAATAGCATCTTGATGAATAAATTTTGACATATTTCGTTATTTAGTGATTTAGTGACATAGTTTCATTATTTAGTGACATAGTTGACAGAACTGTGTCAAAAAAGCTGTTATTGAAACGCCATTAACATGTTATCATTACGTTGACAAGAGCAGATTTGAGTGTTTGGTCCAACTTCACGTTGGGCTGTGACCTAAGTATCAGTTTCCTATCTACCCCACTGGTAATATAAGCTGTTCCAAGTGCCAAGTTGTGTTCGTCTTTGCTAGTAATGTGATCATAAAATTCTTATCACTGTATATTAAGTAATAATCATAACGGTGATTGACCAGACCAGTTTATTGACCAGATATAAAGCAAAAGACTAGGAATTTTTTTTTTTAACTTTGTGCGCTTTAGAAAATAAAAATATACTTTTAGAAATCCAAGATTTATTATAGTCATGATAAAAATTCATATAATATACTACATACTATTTCATACATAATCCTTACAGCGAAAAAAGTTGCGGGGATTCAGATTTAATTGAATACCATTGACCTTAAAATTAACTATGATTTATCATGATAACCAGCAGAGACACATTGACTTTCGTATCTTTTCATATTAGTACGGCCTAACATTCTAATTTACATGTAATTTGCTATGTTATGCCTAGTTTACACGAGCTTAGTACTTGTCCATAATGCATAAGGTTTAAAAAAAAAAACGCCTAAGGTTTTATAAGTTTTTGTCTGCTAAGAATGGGACCTAATCATAACTTAGCTATACTAATGGCCACCTCTTTTTGTAATATGAGTAAAAAGGAAATATCTTGAAGATTACAAATTACAAACCTATAACGGTTATTTATTTGACATTCTCCAATGTCAATGATTGTTTACGGTTTACGAGTTGTAATGGAAAAAAACACAAAAGTTAATTAATGCATAGTTAATGTAGGTCGCATATTAGTATTCGGAAACACTGCCGTCACGTACTGAATATAAAATTATTTATATGAAAACCCTTCATCGTTGAATAAAATAAAAAATAGAAAGTGCAATAATATTTACATAAAAATAAAATAAATTTAGAGACAACGAGAAACGTCATGGATTGCCTATGAAATACTAGACTTTAGAGTTGACTTGTAATTAATTGCAGACTTTATATAAGTTTCATATTTGTTTAAGAAATATTTGAAATACAGTAACCTAAACATTAAAAAAAAATTATCATCGTTACAATACTAAATGGACCTCTCTTTAGTACGGCAGTAAATTTGCCATTAATTGTACTATAATTATGTAAGGCTTAAAAAAAACCACTAACTTGTAGTAAGCTACTAGTTGAATTATTCACGCGTTGTTGTTTTATACTCGTAATACTTCAATTCAGAAACGAATTTTACAATCACAATGAATAGCAAACTTAAGGGTGCAAACTCAGTGGAAGTGACGCTGACAGCAGGAGCAAGTACCTTCTCCACCTGTAGTGGATTTCGCCTTTCACATTATGTTATCTCGCCAAGAACCTACGTGAACAAAAACATTGGGAGGGGCCGGTAGAGAATTAGATGGAAAGTGACTTGTTTGTTATATATACATACGGCCGGTTACGTTTGAAAAGGTTTAAGAACGGTTTGAGACGTACTTAACTTTGAATTCTCAATTCAGAAACCGGGTGATGATCAATTCATATGATTAATATGATTTGGTAACGATTTGGTTTTGATCTTTACTTTTATTAGAGCTGGTGAGTCTCATTTACAGTTCTTATTCACAAGTGGTAGGTAAAAAAATGATTTACGATTCATAAGTACTATAAAATTATTACTAATTTAAATCCCACCGAAGATGTCATTTATGTCCTTAGGCTGGAATAAGCTCAGAAGTGAGCCCATTATTATAGATAAAAAATTATTCTTCTTCTTATTTAGTGCCGTCCCTGTCGGAGATTGCCCATCATCTGGGCTCTATTTGTTTCTCTACTCGGAACAAGAATCTTGTAGGTACTCAACCCATACCAATGTCGCAAGTTTTTCAGCCATAAGGTTTAAGATTTCATCGTCTTGTCAAGTCCAATTAAAAATCAAAAAATAAATTAGTTTATTTCAATAAAGATATTTTGACATCGACATAGATTCCGGCTTTTGTGTTTGTACACTATACCCATTACCCATTCGCGCAATCTGATACCCGCACCGCTTACACTGTATTTTTACCCGAAAATGGATGGCTTACATGTAATCTGAGAAAATGTTTTGTTTATGATGGTAAGTAAGTTTCTATTAACTTGACATTTCAGATATTTTTTGATAGAACGACACGTTATATTTAATTACTAGGCTACCACAGTTTTCTAACTATAATACTGCGTCATAATAATTATGACATTTCGAAATCATAGTGTTTGTCTGTTCAGCATCATCAGCCTATCAAATATGTATCTACTGTTGGGGCGCAGGCATACGGAAGGCCTGCGCCCCAACAGTGGATGGAAACTAATCGAATAGGAAAAACGGGCCATGAAACAGGCCCAATGTGGATCGATGGGTGTTAGCGAATGCAAGATCAGCCGGCACCAACGGTTTATCGTGCTTTCAAAGCACAGAAAATCTCAAGATATTTTTTTTAGATAACCATCCTACGACCGACTCTTGAACAAGTTTCTCAACTTCCATATCCGACCAAACACTCTAACCACTGCGCTATTGATCTCGTCGTCGTCTGTGTGCTCATGTACATGCATTTTTACCAAAGGACTGACAATTATGATTCCTTATAAATTACTTTATTGAATAAGGTTGCAGATATTCATTCAAAACTTAAGTTTGTATGTTACATTCGTAAAAATAAAACTCTTATAAACCAAAGATGGTAAAACCAATTGTTTTATGTTATTATCAGAAGTGTCAAGCTAAAACTTAAAATCAAACCAAAGAGATGAACGATGGCGTTGGTATTTTAAATTGTAGACATACAATATAACAAATAATGATAAACGCAGGCTATGTTTCGTTAGTTTTATTTTTGACATTTCTCTTTCTTCTCCCATGACAAATCAACTGCATGGACCAAGCAATCACGCAAATAGGATTTATTGCTATTAAGAAGACAAAAGTGATGATGTAGCTATCAGTGTAGTCTCGGATAGCGCCTGTAGGAAAAAATAGCAATATCAATTGTCTATAATTAATGAGGAAATATTTAAAAAAAAAACGAAAGCACTAAAAAAGCACCACCTCTAGATGGCGACTCTAGCAAAAGTTGATTTTTGCAGGAAACGAATGGACCAAAGACAGTCATTTCCGTTCCTTTTAACTAACATATTATTAAACTGAAATTTGAAAAGTTCGAAAGTTAAAAAGTAAAAATAGAATATGAGCTTTTTATTTAGTTTTGAAAACTAATTTACTTTTAAACATGAAAGAAAACCGGAAGAGTTGTCATGGAGAAATCAAGAACGCACTGTAGCGAAATTTGAATTGGGGAACTAATGCTTTTTTTAATACTTCCTCATTAGTAACTTTTCTAAATCAAAGAGAGATCCCACCATCATAAAATGTAATTAGTAAAGGAAATAGGATCATACTGCCATGAATAAAAATATAACATCGAAACAGATTCCACGGGATATTAAGACAGATCATGATTTGTTGTATCTTTGATTAATTTTTATTCTATAACTAGTGGACGCCCGCGACTTCGTCCGCGTGGAAGTCGGTATCCCGTGGGAGTGAGAAGTTTTCCCAGTAAAAAGTACCCTATGTGTTATTCTGATGTATAACCTATATTGCTGTAAAGTTTTATCCAAATCCGTCCAGTAGTTTTTTCGTGAAAGAGTAACAAACATCCATACATCCATACTTACAAACTTTCGCCTTTATAATATTAATAGGATTTATTGTTAATAATAAATCTTCCGAAATATAAATGGCATGCTTACCGATTATGGGACCAATCCCTATATTTATAATTCCCATAAATAGAAAACAAATTCCCATAACACTAGTGAAATTGTCAGGGCAGAGGTCGGCCATCACTAATGGTACGAGTAAAGACCAGAAGCAACGACCAATTCCAATTATCACCACAAATACGTATACCAAATTGACATCAGTCGAAAATATCATGCCTGTAAAGAACATTCATTATTAATTTTAATTAACAGAAAAATTATGGTATAGCATATGTCCTTTTTCCTAAGTAAATACAATTCTATAAATTTAGAAACTTACCAATTTTGCCTATAATCGAGATCAATATACCAATAATAAACAACTCCGAGTTGCCGATCTTTTTCAAGAAGCCACTCAGTAATATAAAAAACGCTCTGGCAGCTAAATCACCAAATCCAGCTAGAGACATTACTAGAGCCACATCTTCCTAAAAACCACAAAATATTAAGCGAAATCACATGGAAAATTTAAAATCTAGGTTTTGGTCTTTGATAACCTAAAAATAAGGTTTCTTATAATAAAATGGATACTAGGTACTTACGTCATTCCAGTTAGCAAAATACAAGGCTTGGGGCATAATTAACATAAAAGTTATATCCACAAATACAGTAAGACAAATAACCCAGGATGGAATAGATGTTAATACAAATTTAACTGAAGACAAGTCAAATACTTCTTTCAACACTTTCCTGTAATAAAAGAGTTAAAATAATTTAAAACTTCGGGCGGAGGTTTTCTGTAGGTTATTAATTTAATTCTAGGCGCTCGACTTCAATAGCATTCGCTTCAATATACATCAAATAGTAAAGTAAACATACTCGTTGGACTTAGAAAATCTTCCTTTTAGATTTCTAAATACGCAATCTTTTGTTTTTTTAAGCTGAAATGGGCCATATCATAACATATCATCTTAATATTTAGGTGATGTCTGTTGGAATTCGTAATTTGTTTTGATATAAAAGAAAAACTACTTAATCTATTTCAATAAAATTTAAATAGGCCTACCTCGATCCATCAAACTGTCGAATAAAAGAGGAATTTTGCAAATCGGTCAACAATTCACGAAAATATCGGTGAACATACATAAAAAAATATACATCGCCGTCGAACATAAAGTCTCCTTCTTTTCGAATTGGAAATCGATTAAAAACTGAGTGAATTAAAATGCTGAATATTGTGGTAGAGCTCTCAGAGATGTAGGTAGGATGTAGTGCCTAGTGCAGGAACTGGCTTTTGGTATCAGATTAATATATTATGATTATTAGAAGATCATTTTAGATGTAGAAAATGTGCGTATTTCTTTTTAATCATGATCCAATCATAAATACATTTTTTTATTTATAATTAATAGTCTTCTTATATATCTTTGAATAAATAAACATTTCAATCTTACTCGACTTCATTTATTATTTTGCACCTACGACTTATGCTTTCGTTATGCGCTCTAGACTAAATATTAAAAAATCTAACAGGTAAAAGGTGACCAAAACACAATGAATACAATAATTGGCATGCCAACAAAAGCTAAATTCAGAACCAATCATTTACCCAAACAAACACGACAACACGGCATTGACAGGACCTTCTTACGTCCTAAAAAGTATATTGTGAGTCACGTCCCTTATAAATTGAATTTGGGTTCACGTGATATTTCAGCAACGTTAAAAGATTTTTAAAGGGCTTGCTATCGTTTTTCTGTGTCAAACCAATATTCGTTGTATAAGGCGTCTGCACCAATGAATAAGTTTTGCAGAATTGGGAAAAGGTATAAATAATACCTACTTTATAAATTAGCATAGAAATTGTAATATAATTTACTAAGACTAGAATTGTCTAATCGAAATAGAGAAACGACTAATTACACATCGTATAACTTACTTTAGTGTAAAGCATTAAATCAAATACTCACATAAATCCGAACTTTTCTGCATCATTCACTTCGATGTCAATGAAATTAGAATTTGTAAAACACCTCTCCACCTCTACTAGTTTTGAATCACTCAGTTTGATTACAGGAATATTTGTGTCGGAATTTCCATTAATCAAAAACGTTTGCATCTCTAAAACTTTCAAAGATATAATATTTACATAGGTATGTTTAAAGTTGCAACTAATTAAAAATAAATATATATATTAGATTGCTTAAATTTTAGGCAAGTAATTTCATCGATATGAACTTAAACTTAATTTTAATGTGTGAAGTATTTTTCCTTTATTATGATCGTACCGTTGAACTAGGCAGTGGTTGCAACAACATTAATGCCCGTTTTCACTAACTTAGGAGTCGCCCAAATCTGTCCCCTAATTTAGAAATCGCCTAACGTGAAAATGAATTTCACCAACGACTACGATCAACCTTTTTGTGTCACTGGGGGATTTTTATACTGTGCCTGCCGCTTGACAGGCGATAGGGGATATAAGTCTGTCCATCCACACGGACCCACTTGTCAAAACGTGGATGCCATACACACTAAGCCCTCTCCGATGCACCCTCACTTTTGGGGGAAGGGCGTGGGATCCAGTTGGGACTATCCACACTTAGCACCAGAATACGAACAATATTAAGTTTGTAAATGGATCTTAAGACAAACCAATGCTATCAAACTACCCCGCCCTGAAGAGGGCAGGCTAATATGGAACGCCTATCTGGCAAAACCCGCCGCGGTTCACCTCACGCGGATGGGAAGAACCCTGGCCTGGTTTTTTTTATATCTCTTTATACCCAAGCTGTGTCAGGCTGTTTTGTTTCTTATGTTTATTTCTTTTTACTATTAGGTGTCAAGATTTAACACTCTGTCAGCGGGTATTTATCTTTTTACCCTTGTCATATTTGCCCTGGCCTGGTTGGACTAGGCCTTATAATTGTATAAAGTTTTGACATGTATTGTACTAATAAACTAATTTATTTAGTAGATTCCTAAGATTAAGCGTTTCCTAGTTAAGCTATGCCTAGTTCTAGGTTAGTGAACACGGGTGTAAAAATCTTTAAGGGGGCGTTTACAAAAATCACGAACTTTAAAGGTATTGAAGAAAGAAATAACGTCCGTCTCAACATAATGATAGTTACATGAAATTTCATTTATTACGCGTAGATGCTTTTTTTTAATAATAACACTGCACAACAGCATACCTGATGATTGGCTTATGATACATGATATATGTCTAATTTTTTATGACAATTCCAAATGTGTAACTGAAATTTTTGTATAAGCTCTTGTTTAAAAAATACAACATATGGGTGTTTTTATAATAAAATACTACATAATTATTTAAAGATAGTCCCATTTTATTTAGTTCTTAAGTTGGAAAAAACTTCCTTTTATTTGATTTTCTTTTTGAAGGTGATGGCAGAGAGCTGTTCTGAATGCGCCAACAATAGTCAGCCATCATGTATGCGTTCCAGTAGCCTTGATGGCGTTCTTCCATCGTACGAATGTCTTGGTGGAATCGCTCACCCTGCTCTTCACTTAGATCCCCAAGATTGGCGGGAAAATAGTCAGGTGGTTGTGGAGAAAGTGTAACTTGATGCTCATATTACATCCAAGCCTTTGAAAGTGACTCATTAGTTGGTCAACGTGTTGAGAATAGTCAGAACTTTTCTTATTTCCCAAAAAATTTTGAACAAGCCAGACAAACTCATTCCATGCATTTTTCTCATTCTCTGTCATGTTGTCCGTCAAATTCGAGTCTTTTATTAGTGATCGTATCAGTGGACCGTCAAAAATGCCCGCCTTTATCTTTTCTGCACTCACACTTTGGGAACTTTTTTGATAGGAAAAGAAACAATTTCCATTTTTGTCAAGACTTTTTACAAATTGTTTATTAATCCTAGTTTTATATGTAAGGGAGGCAAAATTATACGAGCCATTAATCCAGGTACATCTTTACAAAATACGAAGTCATCTTCTTCGGCAAAATATTTGAGGAGATTTTGTTCTCTTGTGCGGTAATAAGAAATTTTAGTTTCTTTTGTTACTAAGTTTTGTTCTTTTAGCCTAGACGCCAAAAGCTCTGAAGCAGACTTTGACAGTCCATAATCTCTGATAAGGTCGCTTAATTCATCTTGGTTGAATGGTTTTGGTGTATCTAGGTTACATTCAAACTCACTCTCACTACTGTGTGTATTTGACTCTAAATGCACAAGCTCATCCTGTGGTGCACCAGCTTGAGGTTCAGGGATATGTTAGGGCTCAAAACACGTCTATATGCCGACCGTATGCAAGGATATTCCACTTAGCTCGATTGTTTCGGTTAATGCCAGTAATGTTCACCAAACAAAAATAACAGTCGTCGTGGTGGTTCATGGTTCTTTCCATACCATAGCGGTTTGGTGCCTAAATTTATCCCTTTTCTTATTTGTCCACAAACGTAGAAACTCAACGCACGTTTTGCATACCTTTTGCGGAATCCAAGCGTTATATTTCATTTCCAGTGGGTGACCAAAGTAATTTTTGTAAGCCTCATTTACGAAGGCTGTCACATTTAAACGGCATTCTTTAAACATATACTCTCCGCAAATGAAACAAAAATGGTTCGGATCATTACACAAACTCGACTTGACGATGCCATATCAAATTATATTAAGAAAACTTCTATTTATTTAAATTATCAGCAAAATAACATAAGAGAACAGTCAGTTTCGAGTGAAAGCTGTAACTCGTAAACAAGAGCTGTAGCAAAAAAAATGAGGATATATTTAGAATCAGCGGGGTCAAATTAGTAAACATCATATGATAAAAGTCATTCATCAGAAAAAAGATTCATTTTGTGAATCCGTGTAATCTTTTGATATTTGACAAATCAGCAATATTTCTTTCGTTCTAAAGAAAAAATAAAATCTTATTAAACTATTTTATAATGCTGAAGTAGTTAGTTACCTTTTTCGTTAGATAATTCAACTTTCTTCATGTGTTTAGATACTGGCTGGAATAGAGCTGCTCCCACAAATGCTTGGATACCGACAGCACATACAACCAACAACGTGCCTCTATACCCGTACTCATTTAAAGAAAATTTTATCAGTTGTGGCGCTAACATCCCAAAAACGGCTAAAAAGAAATTATCAGGAATTAAGAAAGTTTTTTTTGATAATTGTTATCTATCTATCTATACAAATGAATAAAATGAAGATTAACTTAGGCTATTTTCCAAGCGGAAGAAGTCGCAGGTCCTTACATAAAACAATTATGACTATATGAATAGAATAGAATATGTACTTAGTTAACAACACACAATACAATATAAAACAAAATAATAAAAAAAAGAAATATAAATGTATTATGGTGTATTCAGTCTAGCTGGCTTCAGCTCAGTAAAGCATAAGCAGAGCCCACTATTGAACATTTATTTATTATCAGGACAACTGCACAAGCAGCACTTTTATGCCTCGGAATTCGAGAGCTACTAACTGCTAAAATGGATGTGAGACGAGATTAGCATGATTATTGACATCGCACCAGACAAGAGACTGTATTTTCTTGAACGAATCGAGAGTGTTCGGACTGGCGCCAAGTGGGATTAAGTTGTGGGAGGCCCGGGCGACACTCTCAAACAAAGGCGGCAAGGAGGACCGGATAGCATATAAACGCATCCCCTCCTGTGGGTCGACGGGACAGGGCTGACACCCCACCCGTGCCCCAGCGAAGCTACCTCGCAGGGACGATCCACCGTCTGGGTGCCTTGTAATACAATTTGATATCTGATTGGCGGCGCTGTGGTAGTAACTCGTATAGACTCATAATAAAACGATCTCTAAATAATAAAAATAAATCATGTTGATTTATTATTCAGATCCTAAATATTACCACAACATTAGATCCGAGACAGCAAGGTATACATCCCGAATGGGAATCAAACACCATGAAACTAGCATGAAAACCAGCATTGCCTTCTCAGCGATGGATATCGTACTCTATGATATCCGTTTTGAATAAATTGTAATTACTCAAAATCTTCTGGAAGTCAAATATTAATACAGAATGCTTATTAAGTGTCTGTATTCTATAATTAATTATTTGATTATTGTAATTTTGTATTAACAATTGTTATCTTACTGTCTATTAACTGAAGCTACTTCAGTTGTCGGAGTAAATATTTGCTAAGTACCTTAAAGTTTCTAGGAACATCCTTGTTTTTGGGTTTACGGACAACTTTTGGACTTTGAAATCAAGCAAGAAGTTTGAATGTAAACCCGCTATGTGACTATTTTGTACTAAACATAGTAATAACATACAGGTATTAAGGGCTTTTAATGTTATTAATAACTTCTCAATTGGTTGGATAAAGACAGCGGGAGATCGTGTTTTGTGGCGAACTCTGGGGTAAGCCTACGTACGTACTAGCAGTGGACTGCAACAGGCTGATATGATGATAACTTCTCAAAGTATCTCTAGTGAATTACTCAAAGAGATAGAACGTTTATATAATGCTTCATATTTAGTTAATTACGTATAGGCAACTACCATTATTTACTTTAAAAAATGTTATTAGAATAGATTATTTGTAACTGAACTTAGGTAATAACTAGCCACGCATAAACAAGAATATATTTTTGTGTGCGTTTGTATGATGTCAAATTATGCATATAAATCTATGTATTTTGGACAATAAAAAAACATTTTGTTGTGTATAATTTTTTATTTACTAATCTTATAAAAAAATGTACAAATGAGAGTTATTATGTGCACGGTCGTTAGCCATGCCACCGTAAGCAGACCTCTGTTAGTATGGAAGTTCTATATGATGCGCGGTCGGTATTAAGTTCACAATCTGATGTGCAGCTAAAATAAGGAATGTGCATGATATTTTCAGCGTCAATGCATGTTCTTAAATTCAAACACAAGTTAAAGTTTCATAAAGAAAAATTAGATCAGACACGAATAAAAAGACACTAGACTGTGATGGAAAACTCTAGAGAGACGTAAACGTCACACAGGAGTAACAAGGACGGACAGCGTAACAATTCTAACCCCATCGCATTATTTTTTGATGCAATCAAATAACTGTTAGTTTAAAAACTCTTAGTATATTTTATGGAAATTTTTTCCATATCATATTTTTTAAAATATAGAATTAATACTTATGCAACTAGGCTTACCTGTTAAAGTTTGAATAACACAAAATGCAAATAGTCTTTTTTGTACAAAATATTCATTGAGTATTGTGTATGTTACATTATATATAAAACCAATACCGGCTCCCTGTGAAATAAAGATAAACTAGTTTATTCAAGTAGATATTCACAAACGTAGATATTATACCATAGGACAGAATTTTAAAAAACGGGAAAGCGTAATCCTATAGAAAATAAAAAAAAACATCATTTCTGATACCAGACTTTTCTCGTTTCAAATACTTTCAGGAAAAAGTGGAATATATTAATCCAATGGAAATGTATTTTCCCCGACGTTAGTTTCATCTAATGTTAAACTTTGTGACTGATGAATTGTACATAATTACAAAAGTTATTTATAACGAGAATCTTTCTTTTGAACAATCTGTATTTTCAAATTTCTAAAAGTTAGTTAATAGAACACAATCAGTATTCTCTTTAGCTTAATGTTAATATCCATTAAAACAAATCATCATTATTTATATCCTTTCATCAGGGGAATATATTTTCTGTTGTAACTTTCCAAAATATGAATCTTATAATAACATAAAAGATAAAGTTCATATTCAACTCATATTTCTGGACTTGCTTACTTATAACGTATATTTAAATGCAATATTTTTATTTATAATCAATGTTTCACATCAGGTTTATTGCAGCATGAAATATTATGATTTATTCCAATAAAATAGTATTTCACACTTAAAATTATTTGTTTTCACGCTTTAGTCTTCAAGGTCAGCAAAATGTTTGGAAGTCACCGACCAAATATCGTATATATTATGTTAAGCCCAAGTGAATGATTAAATTAAAACACATATTGTAAGGAATTTGTTATTTTCGATAGATAACATTAGTGAATACATAACATTAGATGGTTATAACATTCTAGTTGACGATTTATTTTTCTTTCCAACTACTAATTCTCAATGGCAGTGTGGTTAGCGTGCTCGGTCTGCGATATAGTTAAGCAACTTTCACAAGGACCAATATTTACTATCTCGAACTCATATATAGTCCGAAAGGCACTTTGAGGCCCCGGCCGCATCTTCAGTTATTAACACCTAACAACTACACTGGGCCCCGGTCAGGGCCCATTTTCCCTATTCGATTTGATTCGATTTCATCCATATGGAAGGCCTGAACCTTAGCAGTCGGGATATTAATAGGCTGATGATGATGATGATATAAGAATTTATTTTTCTTTTGCATTTGTTTGAAAAATAGGTATTTTATTGACAGATAATATTCGTGTCAAGATAAACATCATCCAATTTTAATCCCAAATTAGAAGTTCATTACAAAACTCAACACGTTATGGTATTTAAGAATTAGTTGACTAATTTAGAAAATAATTATATAATTACCTGAAGCAGTCCTACGCAGATGAAAAAAGGTTCTATTGAGTTCGTAAACACTAGTAAGATCACACCACTGTTATACAAAGTGGCACCCACCAGAGCTAGTTTACGTAAACTCATAATTTTGAGCAACGGACTTGATAAGCACGCTGAAATATATAAAAAAAAAACATATATCTTAATTCTTAGCTACGTCCAGAGTATTAGAATATAATATATCCATAATCAATCTATTTATTAGGTAATACCGCCTAAAAAGTTCCAATGTTATTAAAAATCTGAATACTAATTATAAAATTAGAAATTGTTTTGAAACCATAATGTCTCGATCTTGAAACCAAAGACTATGATCCAAATGTAGGCGAATTACTTAAAATCACTTGAGCTGTCAAAAAAAGGGGCTACTACCTAGTGAAAATTATTATAAACAGATAAAGTGTCTTTTATCATTAAAACGTTAAATCAAGATATTTAAAACACGAATTATGGGAAGAAAAAATAATAGATCAACTATCTGTTTTTCCACGTTAATTTCTTAAAACAAATTTAAATATAAGCGTTTCTATTTTAACGTAATTGAATAGTAGACTAGAAATCCTCAAAATTGTAGCTTTGCTAAAACAGAATAGGTCTGGGGGCTCTTACTGTATATCACGTAAGTGAAGGAATTTTTAAAATCGCTCAAGTAGCTTCGGAGTCTACTCGATACAAACAATCAAATTTTGCTCTTTATAATATTAGTGTAGAATAAGTGAAATGTTTATTTATGAAATACAGATAATTTTAGCTACACATAAAAATATTTAAAGAATATATTTTGTTACTCATAAGCATGTCTGACCCTGAATCCACTTCATATAAAATACGAGTATCTTTATGTTTAATTACCTTAATGGAATTGCAAAAAAATAACTTTATTTATATTTGTTTTATTTTCTAGGTTATCTTTTTTATTTAGACGACATACTTTTTCTACGTAACCTTTAAATATTATTATCTCTCAAACTGTTTAGCTGACGAAGAATGGGACCGAAATCGTGAACATTTTAATTATGAAAATAGAACTGTCTTCAAAAAGGTTAGTTATTCAGCCAATTAATGTCTCTTCTGTACTGCTGGGGCAAGGATTTTGCTAGAGGTGAAATCTAATAATAAAAATTTGGCTGTAACATACCACGCAGTCCCAATATGGATTGGTGGGTGTCTTTTTTCTAAAGAATAAAAAAAATATGGAAACTCGATGAGCATACATGGCCGTCGAACATATAACCTCCTCCTTTGCGATTTTGAAGTCGGCTAGAAATGGAAAATCATTCATGTTTCTTTTCTGACAGAGGTTATGTTATTAACCGCTGCAAGGTATTAAAGGCAGATAATGGTAAAAATTCGGTATAATAAGCTTTTTAGAAGTCGTTTGTATTTTTTTTCTCATTCACAATCTTCGCGGTTTCATTCACATCCTCCATCAGCTTCAATTCAATCGGTTCGGAGAAAATCGGCTGTAATAGATGAACAGACAAAAAACCGAGTGATCCTATAAATGTTCCGTTTAGCCTTGTTTGGTATAGAACCTTTAAAAGTAAAGTATGGTATTCAGCTTTTAATAGCGACTTAAGCAAATATACTATTTTTACTGCAAAATATATAAAAAAGTTTCCTCCCTATGTTTCTATCTAGTTTTATTTATACCAAGTGAAGAGAGATGTAAATGTTTGCAACCTACATACATTAACTCGTTTAAATGAAAAAAAAAACATGCAATGTTCTCAACTACATTGGAACTTCATAACGAAATTGTTTTTTCTTTATTTTTTAATATGTACCTAACATATCTTACTATTATACTTAATTTTTATTTATTTATTAATTAACTACACTTGAACAGGCAAATAATGCTCTTCATGTTATAATTAGTTGACTTGAAAGGAATCTTACAATAAATTCAAACAAGACTAGTTTCATCGAGCTTCGAACCGATAATAGTAAATAGAACCTTAAAAATTTACAATATGAGAATAGGGCTGTCATCAAAGTAGAAGAAACTGTATTTCTGAGCATAAAATTTGATCATTATAATAATTGGAAATTGCATGTAAATAAATTGTGCTCAGAACTTGATAGATTCGTTTACATGCTATATTGTCTCAGACTAACAACAACAATGCAGGCGACTTTAGCAGCATTTCATGGATACGTTTCTTCATGCCTTGGATATGGTATGGTATGCCTGTGGGAATTCTTGGAGGATGCAGAGAGGGCCTTTCTCGTGCAAAAAAAAAGTGTATTAGGTCTATGTGTTCTGCGGGGTATCGTGATAGCTGTGTACCTTTATTTAAAAGATTAATTATACTACCGCCACCTTGTTTGTACATTTATGAAATCTGCATTTTTATACAGAAATACAGAAAAATCCAGAATTGTTTAAAAGAAATTGTGACGACATAAAAAGAACTTGCCGAAATAACTTTAGATTATATGTCCCATCTCAACAATTGCAAGGCCATTGGAATCTACATATAATAAATTATATGATGCAAATAAATAAATAAAATAAATAAATTATCTGTATGCTATACAAAATCAAATCAAGTGACAAAAAAGTTGTCATTTTTTGTCACTTGTTTTGATTTTGTGTTGTTTAATTTAATTATTGACATTTATTATGAATTCATGACAATTTAATCTAATTTGACATTTTATGTAATATTTGTACGCTGAACTAGGCAGACTTTTGTTGGAATTTGACTTGGCTATAACACCTTTGCATATGTTTATATACCCAAAATTTGACAAATAAATAAATCAATTTGAAATTTTATATCAAATTATCTGAGCTCCGAGTGAAACTTAATATTGTCTAATCAGTTGAAGCGAATACATAATAAATTTACTGGATAAAAAATGTACTTGCTATTATATGGGGTGTCTCCATTCTATCCTTTAATATATCCTACTTTATTTGTTATAAGTATGGTGGAATATAACGAATTAAGAGTGCGAAGGGAAGTAGCCCTGTCATCGTATTCATTTAAAGTAATTAAAGGAAAAATAATAAACACACGAATATATGGTATGATAAAATTTAGTATCCCAGACAGATTCGGGAGCCAAACAGAATTGTGCCTAGAGGTTTAACAAATACTCCGCTGGCGTGTGCACTGCATATAGCTGAGAAAATGGACCTTTACTCGTGTTTGCCGAGTGAATTCATAAAAGAAGCATTATATGTCACCTGTTATTGTTAATTTTTTTTTTTTTAATTCAGTTACTTTATTGTATTGGATATTACCTGTAAAACTAGATGTAAGAGTGATTAATAAATAAATAAATATTTACCTAGTAATTCTAGGTGTTTGGTAGGGTAGGAGATAGGTAGCATATTCAGCTTAGAAATTGTTAATAATTTTAGTGTCGAATTGAACAAGTTTTTGTTTATTTTTTTTTTATTCTTGATAGGCAAGTACTTGACCACCGATCACCTGATGGTAAGCAATGCAGTGGTCTAAGATGGAGCGTGCTTGCCTAGAAGGAACCGATTCACTCTTGAATTGAAGAGTCCCAGATTGTATATGCCCGGAAACAGCGAGTCCGGTAGCGAATTCCACAGCTTCGCAGTTCTGTGATGGCTGCCGTTTACTGTTTAGAATAAGCATGTTAGAAAATAAAAAGTAACCAATTCCATTGGTGAAAGAAGTCTCCTCTTGATACCACTCTATGTATTCAAGACTGTTCTTTATTTTTATTTTATTTTTTTGGACTCAACCAAAATATCAATTTTTTTTTTATGCAAATGAATTAATTTCTAGTCAAGAAGTATTTAGTTGTCACGCTTTATTTGTGCCAAATTTTATAATTATGTAATCTATACTTTTAATTTTCGAATGTTTTGATAATGTCTCTCTCTGATGTATTTATGATTAGATACACAATCAATGTTTGGAAAACAAATTCTAATGATGATAAGTCATGAAATTATTTCTAACAAAGAATATTTATTATTGTTTCCAACATTAATGAGATTATTCACGAAAGATAAAAATAACAAAGTATAGAATGATAATTATATTGAATAAATATATATTTAAAACAGTAACCTATATAAATGTTATCACTGATGGACTGAGCCGCCGAAAGATTCAGTTATCGGTTAAGATAATAGTCACCTGCGATGGAATTTGAAGGTTACTTACATTATAAAGAGATAGTTTCCAACTTTGTTTGTTTGTAGAAGGTAATCTTCGGAAATACTGATCTGATTATGAAAATTCTTTCTTCTACGGGAAGCTACATCATACGCGGATAATATAGGCTATTGTTTACACGGGCGAAGTCGCGGGAAAACAGCTACAGTGCTATTAATAAACAAAGTTTAGCGTCATAGTAAAATTACGCTAAAATTGCAATTTTAGTTTTAGTCCAAATGCATATTTTACATAGAATAGTGAATGTTATTCCCGTCGAACCTTGTACTAAATTTAACTTTGCTAAGTCTTTATTTAATAATATAAAATTTAACTAATACTAAGTGCAGTCTCAGCGTAAATTTACTTCAACGCTAAACCTTGTTTATGATAAACTGCTAGTGTTTAATAAAATCATAAATAGATGCCATTAGTGTTTGTATTTTTATATGAATACGGTTTCGACAGTAGCTTTCCCGCGTGGTTCTACATTGTACATCGAACCTTAAGTACTCCCGAAACACTCTGTACATTGATAAAAGCCGAAAAATCCATTGTATAGTTTAAAAGATCTCGGCGTACAGACAGCGGGAATCAATTTTGCTTTATATTATGTATCTGTAATCATCTTTTATCGTTACTTTTTGCATTTAGACGACCTCTGTAACGGAGTGGCTCGCACATTTCAAGGTGTCGCCATCTCGAGTAAAATACCAAATGATCTTCACCATAAAGTTTTTAGTTGTCCTGTACATCCGATTGTTCTGTTCTTAAACCTCGCTGTCATAATAAATTATAAAACCTTACATAACAAAATGCTTAATCGACTAAAGAGCAGTCCATAGTCTATTTTAATTGATCATCAGAACGATAATAAATTGTATAATCAACCTGTTTATTATTAAGTAGATTTGAATTTGGTCTATAATATTTTTTAAGGTCTGCGACTAATTTGCGCATCTGTTTGCATATTTGTATTTTTAGGTTTGAGAGAAATATTTTTAAAACTTAATATAAATCAGTACATCTAGATTCAATCGTTTTAGTTTTATTGTACATATTATTAAGTTCGAGTTCATTAAATCCGTA